ATGTATTATTGTGTGCGTGTCTATGGCTGCAATGTAAGGGTGGTATGGCATGGGCAATGCAAAGTTAAAGTGTCGACATATATAAGATACACACATATACTATACAATACATGGAGGAAAACATATAAATAACATATAGGTTAATATATAGGTAAAGGAATTATAGAATATGTGGGGAAAATATCTATGACATTATTTTTTGTTTTAAATAACTCCTTCACACTGATACTTATGTATCCATGACTGCCAGGATTTGCAACCCTCGACAAGCATAACTGCAAATTCAATTTGTTATTGCCTATTAATTTTAATTATGCCATAATTACAGTCAGAGAGCTCACAACACAGCGGCACAAGGAGCCGCAACACTGTAAACCTCTGAACGCTAAATACAGAGACTAGTAACCCTATATCAGCACTGAACGCAAACTCGTCGATATTACTACAGTTACTTTTACACCCATACAATGCAACCACTATTTTTTCACTATATGTGTCAGTGGGGTGTACATACGGTGACACATAGACACATATAGATGCGCACGCACACAGATATAGTGAGTTGAGTTTTAGTTCTTTGTCTGGGTGCAGCTATTTTTTCCATTTTAGCTATTTTGACCTTAAATTTTAAATTCACTCTGAATTCTCACTAACAAAGTTTTTTACCTCATCTAAGTAAAATGATGAGACCAACATCCATCATGTGGAAATATTTCCAGAGTGCATCTTTTCTGAGAAAAAAAACAAAGAAATATACTTTTCCAAATGCTACCTGGATAGAAAAATACACCCTTGTCTTTAGAGGTGTCATAAAGGCATTAAAAGTACTTTATGGAATAAAATAAGGAGGACTTTAATCAGATGTCCCCATATTGGCCACTGCTTCTCAGTAAAAAAAATGAGTACTAGAGACAGCAAGGGGGTGTTCCCAGCCTGCTTTATTAAAATGCCTTCTCATGAAATAGGCACTTTAATAAAACAGGACTAAGGAGGACCTCATGAGCACTCCTAAGGCACTTCAGCAAGCAAATGCTTTAGGGGTCTGTAGTGTCTTTTTGATGGAAATACGTGCTTTCTCTCTGTTTGGTACTATGAGTCAGTAGGTGGATTAGAGGAGACAAAGTAATGTTCTTAGTGCTGTTCTGTTGATGTTTTTGTCAGTTTTTTTGGTGGTGGCCATAGTGGGTCGCAAGTTCTCATGTACTGAAACAAAAAGGTTCCCATTTAGGTAATGTGGCCTTAAAGGGATATTATAGTTCTAGGAATACAAATCTGTATTCCTAGCACTATACTTCCCACATCTGATATGATGTCACCCATATATAATTATTATGCAAATTAGTATGCCCAGTACTTTTTCCCAAGAAAAGTGGCAACCCTGATCAACACAAGTGCATCAGTCCATGTCAATGCATGCTTTAAGCTGTTTTATGACCCATAGCGCTGTTTACATTTTGTGAGCACCCAATCAACCTGGGGCAATATGACTAAGGAAGCATGCCAAATGTTAGGAAAATCTGAACATGTGCTGAAGCCTCAACCAGAGCCAGATTATCAGTCAGACGACCAAGGCATGGCTCCTGTCTGGGCCTGGAGCTCTGACTCTGAGCAGGCCCTTCCCCAGCCAGCAAGGAGATGAAAAGATCACTGTGTTGTGTGTTCCCTCACTTCAAAGAGGGAGCATTGTGGTCTTTACCAATTATCAGGTACAAACCACTTTAAGGCTGCCTTCTTAAAGTGATCTACGCCCAATATTGGTGCAGATTACGAATCACCCCCCTAGACCACCAAGAATCAAGCTCACACTCCACTGGACCACCAGGGAAGGTAAGCAGAGGGGGAACATACACACAGAGCACTCAGATTCCCTTACATACGCACAATTCAGCCACCACACATACAACTCTCAACCAGCACACAGACACACCTCCCCCCTTGCAGCTCTGTCACTGCTCCAAACGCTTTAACAAACAACACTCCACACACATCACTCACAGAAACAGAATCCGGGGCTCTACGAGGGGGCCCCAATCTGGCAGCCTGCCTAGGGCCCTGGACATTATCTGGCTCTGGCCTCAAATGATATATACATTTGGCTTTTTAACTCCTCCAGGAAATGTACTAAACACATTCACATTAACACTGACTCAAAAACCGAAAACAACCTTCCTCTCACTTGTTTGTCACTGTGTGCATAATAAAATGATATTAGAACCCAGAAGATTAGTTAATAGAGAAGTCATGTGCAGGGAGAATGTATTATAGAAACAAATATATTAATCACTCGCCTTGCATTTACATTCTGTTCTCTGTAACGCACAGAGACATATCTAGAGAAGGTAACTATAGGTCGAACTGGAGTAGTTGTACAGCAGGAAAGGCAGAATTTTTTTTTTTTTTAAATCTGCTCTGTAGCGTGCATAGTACCTCAGTAGTTCCTGTAACACAGTGAGGTTGAAGAAGTTCAGTACTTATTCAGGGAAGAGAACATTCTGTTCTTGATCTCAACAGGCAGGGGCCCGGCTGAGCCATCTATCGCTGCTGTAAAACTAGATAAACAACACACCAGCCTAGAGAAAGTACAACAACAAGGGCAACATGACACAACCTTTTTCCAGTCCCATACACATTTAACCTGATCTCTGCCAGGGCATCCCTAACATGTTGCTGAGTAACGTGCTACTTGTCTGATAGCAAGATTTGTTGTTTTTTTGTTGTTGTTTTTCCCGTCTTTGTATAATAAATGCTGCATAAAATGAGAAGCTCAAAAAATGAGCAGGAATTGAGTGGTGAAAAATCTGTTGCGGCTACATAGCTGTTTTGAAATGTACACAGACGCAGGTTGGCTGGAACAGGCTTAGTCATAATATTCTTTTGTGTTTTACAGATGTAGGCCTGAGTGTGTGGGAAGTTAAACGAACAAAGTGTTAAAATTCACTTAAAGGCGATGTTATGTGTGACCGTGCCCTAGCAGCAGGGTTTGTTTAAAGTTAAAATCATGACAAGGTATACTCACTGCCTTCTAAGCAAACCATTAGTGGGCATAATGTGTTCTTTTTTTTTTTTTTTTTTTTTAAATGACCATATATGGGAAGAGCTGGCAGACATGCAAGTGGTCCGGTTCTTTCTAGGATGTTTAACCCTTTAAGGACCAAACTTCTGGAATAAAAGGGAATCATGACATGTCACACATGTCATGTGTCCTTAAGGGGTTAAAGCATCACGATTAAAGAAAGTTTTCGGGACTTTCTAAACCAAAAGACACTGCACTGTGTAAAATATTAAAAGGACCACTTAAGTCACCCAGTGCACTTCATCTCAATGAAGTGGGCTGGGTGCAGTGGCCTTCTAATTTTAACCCGCAATGTAAACATTGCAGATTTTTTTTTTTTTTTAAAACAATGTTTTCATTAGAGGGTTACGCACACCTATAGTGGTGAGGCACTTCAACAGCACTGGCCAAGTAAAACTAGGTCGCATGACAAGGAAGCCCCCATAGAAAAGCACTGATTCAATGCTGTTTTATGGATGTGCACACTGACCGTGCATGCGCATCAGGTCCCCAATACTCCTCTATGAAGACCATCATGGAGGAGGACATGCCGCCTCAGTGGTGTAGTGGGAGGTGGAGAGGTAATTGTTATTGCATGGAGGGTGGGCAGACCTGGTTTTTAGAAAGGACAAAGACACTAAAGCTTTAGTGTTCCTTTACCCTACAAGTCATGCCAGCCAAAAATTGTCCATTTACCTATTGAGGAATTATAATTCAGGCAGCTAGACATGAAGGAACTATTCACTTAAAATGTACCTGTCATGCTAAATATGAGTTGGTGTCACTTTAAAATGCACACTATGCAATGCCATGTCTGCGGCATTTGTCCGTGGATATGTGTCAGGCACTGGTAAATAACATGGGGGCTTATTATTGGGGACTGGTAAATAAGACGGGGGCTGTTAAATAAGATAGGGGTTCAAAAACTGAGTCTGGATAAAAGGATGTGGTGTCGATGAACCATACAGTTCAATAAACTAATACTGTACATTAGAATTAGAATTTTTACAAGCAGCACCATTCCATGGGTGACAATGAGTTAGCCAGTGGCCATTAGGTAATTTGAATTTGAGGCCCCTGATTTAAATCATTCCAGTGTTTGACATAGATCAATGATTCATTAAAAGGTGTATTAAAGGCTAGTTCAACTAAATGAAATGAGGCCTGGTAAATGTGTCAAAGTTACAATATTAAAAACTGCAGCAAAACTCAATATTGGCTTCTATGACACTAAGGATGTTTGAATGAATTTAGGATAACTGCAGGATGCTAAATCCAAAACAAAACATTGTTGTTGTTTTTTTTGTTTTGTTTTTTCTTGACTCTAGTTTTTAAAATAATAGATACCCCTCATACTGTGATTTTTTTTTTACCCAATACAGCCTGTGGTTGCTATGCAGCAGGGTTTGGTCTGTCTTTTTTTCTTTGTAACATTGTTTTTATCTAATGTAATATTTTTTTATCGACTGTAATATCTAATCTTATCTTCACATTGTTTTACAAATGTGTCTATTGTATATAACGTCATGTTAATTGCTTTTGTTTTTTCACAGAAATATGAGTTTTTCACAAAGAGCTGTTTAAACTTTAACATTCTGCTACAGTTGTGGTGAATTGGTTATTTTCTTCTCATAACCTTTGAAATAATGCAATTTCATCAAGAACATTCAAATTCAGAAAAAACTGGAGAGTGTAGTACGCTTACTGTTTGATAATGCATGTGGCTTTTTTGGATGTGATTAACTATGCAAAGCATATGTTTATATTTGTTGTGTTCACAGGATGAGGCCTTTCTTTGTTTTAAAAAAATAGTTCTTTATAAAATAAAATAAAAATGAAGGGATGGAACCTGCAACCTGCATGGTTGGACACACCTTCTCCAGCTCTGTACAGACTTGCGTAATTTACACAAAAATCTAAGCTCTTACTGCACAATAACCAGCCCAAAAGGATATTCAGCTACCTTATTGGTATAGGACTCCACAACGAAAATTACAAGGAAAACAAACCACCTCTTACAGCTGACATAGGTACTCTCTGAAGGCTGCAGAACCCCCAGACACCTGTCATGGTGTTGCCATTGAGAAGTGATATTTTCCTTGAGGAGGAGGCATGAACACAGATTCTCAACCTACTCTCCCCAATTTGCAGGAAGTATCGGCTTCCCGGGTGATTGAAGAGACACTTAGGAGCCTCCTGACAGAGTTACGCCAAAATACAGCCACCGATATGGGCCTTTTCAGGGAGGAGGTAAATGGAATATCCACTCACCTTCATAGCATAGAGCTGTCTATGGTAGCACAGGAAAATAGGGTAACTGAGTTGAAATACTCGATACTGTACAAGACATACATTGGGAGTAGACACAGTCCCTACACTGCCTGGTCACCATGAAGGACAGGCCGCAATGGGAAAACATCAAGGTCCGAGTTGTGTCATATAGATTGGATGTTGCTGAACTGTCTCACTTTTTCAGGAGATTGTTCTCCCACTATATTCAGCTAACAATTGAAAGCTATGCCCCTGGATCATTGTTAACTAATTCCTAAGGCGATTAATGCTACTGATAAGGTGAGCAGCATTATCATCGTCAGAATGGTCAGTATAAAAGGGCATTTTTATCTCCTGTTCAGAATAAAGCACATACCTCTTTGAAAACAGATCTCTGATGTTCTTCCAGGACCTGATGCGTACAACTATGGTGCAGACTCCTTCAACCGCTAACCAAAAAGCTATAAGTGCATAAGGTCCTATACCGCTGGGGTAACCCAAGATATTTAGTGATCACTCAGAACTCTGGGACTATCAAAGTACAGGATGCCATGGAGATAGCCTCTAACCAAACTGGGTCTATCTCCTGACAGTGGTGAGCAGTAACCGCAGTTCTCGGTTAGCTACCTGTGATCCAACCATGGTTAAGTTGTTTGTACCTGCCTCACAATGCAGGTAGACTTCTGCAACATAAACTCAGTGCATAACTCTACACCTAGAGTGTGCTCAGATTTTATTTTTATGTGTATGACGCAATGTTGATAGTGTGTATATTTATGTTTTATTAATTTTTCTCAAGGTTTAAATGATAAGCTGGGTAATGTAATTAAGTAAGGGGTAGGGGTCTATGTACACCCAGAGCAAACAACCGGAGGTGTTGGCTCCGGGTGTACATAGACTCCCTTCCCATTACTTGTGGTTATTGTATAATGTACTGAGTTATAATCTTTAAAGGGGGGTAAGGGGTATGATTTGCTGTTCTCTCTCTACCTCTTCTCTTGGCTTTTATTAAGAGGCATTGAAAAAACCTGCAGTTATCGCAGGATACTTATTTGTTAAAGGGACACTATAGTCACCAAAATAACTTTAGCTTAATTATGGAGTTTTTGTATATAGATCATGCCTCTAAAGTTTCAATTTTCCATTCACTACCATATAGGAGTTAAATCACTTTTGTTTCTGTTTATGCAGCACTAGCCACACCTCTTCTAGCTGTGACTGACAGCGCCTGCATGAAAACAAAATGGTTTCATTTTCGATCAGATGTAGCTTACTTTACACGTTTTTATCTCCTGCTCTGTAAATTGAACTTTAATTACATACAAAAGGCTTCTGCAAGGTCTAGTAAGCTATTAATAGAGCAGAAGATGAGAAATTCTAAATTAAACAGAATGTGTAATAAAGGTGTAAACATTAGATCTCACTTTAGAGGAAGTGTTAAGGATGCAGGGAGGTGTGACTAGGATAAACAAAAGTGTTTTGACAGCTAAATCGCAGAGAATTGAGCAGTGAGACAGCAGGGGCATGATCTATACAGCCAAATTACTTTAATAAGCTAAGGTTGTTTTGGTGACTTAAGTGTCCCTTTAACTAAAGCAAGCTAGAGTCTCTTACTGGCTGTATTAAAAAAATGTTTTAAAAAAACAACTTTATACAGTATTTTTCTCTATTTCTGTGCATTGACATTAATATTGTTGTTTTATATTATGTCTGCTGTATCTCTGCAATGAGTATCTTTCATGCATTGTGGATAAATGAAAAACAACTTTTTCTCTGTGCAAAACTGTGGCTTGGAGTATGCCCTCAAATGAGAAATGAGAGTTTCCAGCAGTCTATCCCCTCTATGTTGGCCATTAGGCAGACCAGCAATGGGCAGCAATTATGATATGGTTATTCACTAAAAATTAAATGGCTATGCTTCCCATTCGGCTACTTTGGCCTTAAATTTAAAATTAATTTTGAATTCTCACTTTAGTGAGTGTCAGCTGACCACTTTCAGGAGTTAACAGCTGCCTGCTGCTGGTATGTTTGACTAAGAAAATGTGTAAAATCTGCCTTTATCATATCTCCAGAGAGAACCAGGCAGCCAGGGACCCCCATTCAGTTTTAAACTGCTTGAAAATGATTTAACATTGACTGGAGGGACAGTGTCATTGGAATTCTGGCACTATAAACAATTCAATGAGATTAAATGAAATGGTTGCAGTGCGTATACTGGCCATTGAAAGGGATTCTTTATGCAAAATATCAACTTCATCTCATGTAGCTGTTGAGGGTTCCCAAGCACTCACAGCCGACTGGCTTTCTCAACTGCTTGGTCTGAGGATTCTGCATTAACCCAAGCAGTGATGTACACCAGTGATAGTATGAGAGTGTCAGTGCCATTGACACTACTTGCATCATTTGCAATGCCCAAAATGGCCAGTCTTACCTTAAAAAGGGGTCCAGCTGCACAAATAAGGTGTATATCAACAGATGAAGGACAGGACTCTGAAAGCAGGACATCTCACAAGCTTTAGAACTATTGGGAGGTATGCGCTATTACTGAGAGTGGGGTATAGCAGCAATATGTAAAAATCACTGATGTTATAAGACTGGAGGGCAGTTAATCAGGTGGCTTGGAACACTTAGATCTGTGTTGCCAGTGTCAAGTTTGTCACAAAAGGGAAGGCTCCCTCTCCAAGAGAGAACTGAACCACGGACCGTCGATGATTGCTAAAATACAGTCTGTCGTGTCATCTTGATTTTGTTTCCCTGTGACATGCATTAGCATGAAACTGTCCCCAGCCAGCACAGTACAAGTGTATTATTAAACGCACACGCTGTCATGAGGGCACTATGACCATGCAGAATAGCTCTACATGATCTCGCCATGATTTGTCCAGCAAGAAAGCCAGCTAGTTAGATCACTGGCACTCCCTTTACTGGCCCACACAGTCCAACCAGATTGCTTACCTTCCAAAGTTTGTTGATATGCACCAAGTACCATAAATATGCTTCTTCGTTATAATTTGCAAGCAGTATAATAAAACCTTGGGAATTTCTCTGCATATTGAGAACATTGGAGCATTCTGTAATGCTGAATCACTGTTACCTTTTTTAACCCCTTAAGGACAGAGCCAATTGTACACTTTTTGATCAAAACAAAAAGTAAACAAAACCTGGAATTTGCGCTGTATGTTGTTCAGCCATAATTCATCTCTTTCATATTAAGTGCACCCACACCTATTATATATCATTTTGTTCAGGAGAAACAGAGCTTTTATTTCATATAATATATTTATATATGAAACAATCTGAATGTGAATAAAATCTACAAAAGTGTGAGAATTGAAGAAATATTGTTATATTTTAAGTTCTGCATGACATTTTAACTGTTAAAGTCATAATACTGTTAGATTTTATTGCAATAAAATACATATATTTGTATTCAGCAATGTCTCAGGAGTACAACAGTACCCCCCATGTACAGGTTGTATGAATTTTTGGAAACGTACATGGGTTAAATATAGGGCTTTCCCCTTTTTACACATTGAAATTTGCCAGATTGGTTTGTTGGGCCTATGTTGCCATCTTGGCATACTATTTGTAATAGACAACCCAGGGTATTCAAATAGGGTCCAGTCTTTTTTTTGTAACCACAAACACTGGCCAAAGTTAGTAATCATATTTGTCTTTGCACATACTTTGACTGGTGATACCATTGTCATGATAAGTTTTAAAACACACAATAGCACCCCCATATCCAGGTTTTATGGTGTTTTGGAAAGTTACAAGTATAAAATGTAATTGTACTCATTTTAACTATTTTGCCAGAATTTGAACCTCCATAGACAGATTATACTAACAATGCATTAGCCCACTGAGCTATGTAACCAGCCCTAATATCCATCTTCTATAATTATAAAGTTTATATATGTTTGTGTTATATAAATGTTAATAATAATAATTTATATAAATGTCCTTTAAAACGATGTTGCGTTGGTATACGGCCCCAGTCAAACTATTTAAGATGAACAAAACCACTACAGACGATTGTTGGAGAGGGTGTGGGGAAAAAGGGACATACTTACATATGTGGTGGGAATGTCTGAAGATAGCCAGGTTTTGGAGGGTGTTGAGGGACCTCCTGTCACAGGTGTTCTCCAGAGCCCTGGACCTAGACCCCTGGGTATACCTCTTGAATAGAACTAGAGACGGGTGGACAAGAAAGGAACAAAAATTGATCCACAAAATAACCCTGGCTGCAAGGCGAGCAATAGCATTTACGTGGTTACAACAAGAAATGCCACACATAGTGAGTGTAATAACGAGGATTAGAGACGTTTGGTTAATGGATGACCTGACGGCTAGGGTGCTGGGGTCTACCGGAACATTCCAGAGGCTATGGGAGCCGTGGGACGAGAGCCCACTGAACATTTAAAACTCCGGGGGTGCCTCCGTGCGTGCCGCCACTGGTCCCCTTCCCCTCCTCCCGCCCGCCTGCACCTGACAGCTCTGCCTTCTCTTCACTTTTCTCTTTTTACCTCTTTCTTTTACTATCTCTTTTCTTTTCTCTTTTTTTCTTCTTACATCTTTTATTCTCGTTCCATTTCTTTAACCTCCACTCACACTTCCTATTTCTCAGATACCATGGCCCTCTCATACAGGGCATGTGAAATAAGGCGAAATGTACAGATAGCCCTGTACTCTACCTACAAATCAGAACAAGTTACACTATGCAAAAGAGACTGTTAATGTTATAGTACCTGGTTAAACATTAAAATAACAACGAAAATTGTAAAATGTGCTTCTATTTAAAGCCAGTCACAGAAAGACTCCTGTACAATATTGATTATATGCAAGATTTGTGCTTGGCATTGTCAGCTTATATTTATGCACTGCATGACAAAAATAAAGAATTAAAAAATAATAATAATAATAATAATTTATATAAATATATTCCACATTCAGGAAGAATAATATAAAAATGAAGGCCCATATTATTTAAGGTAGTATAGTATACAAAAATTGTAATATATTTTAGTCCAACAGTTCAATAGACAATAGTAGATGTATACAATTTATACATACTTCTAACCTTAAGGATGCTGTCAGTTGTACAAGTTTTAACAAAAACAAAACCTAGATTTTGAGCTATAGATGTGTTCAGTCATAATTCACGGCTTCCATATTAAGTGCACCCACACTTATTATTTTGTTCAGGAAAAATAGGGCTTTCATTACAAATTAAATATTTATATATGGAACACTATTTAATATGAATACATTTTTAAAACAGTGTGAGGAATTAACAAATGTTGAATGTGAATGTCATAATAATGTTAGCTTTTACTGCAATAAAACACACATACATGCACATTTGCAGTCATGGCTCAAATTATCTTAGTAGAGTCAGGGCTGGCCTTCGTAGTATGTGAGCCAACACAACTCACACATGCACGGATCAAACTGAAACGCAAGCCTTATATTTGACTCTGTAACTTTTGAAAATACCTTAAAACCTGTGCATGAGGGGTACTGTTATACTCGGGAGACTTCACTGAACACAACTATTTGTGTTTCAAAACAGTAAAAACTATCACAGCAATAACATCGCCAGTGTAAGTGCCGTTTGTGTGGGAAAAATGCAAAAAACTTCACTTTCACTGACGATATCATTGTTGTAATAAATTTTACTGTTTTGAAACACTAATATTTGTGTTCAGCAAAGTCTCCCGAGTAAAACAGTACCTCCCATGTACAGGTTTTATGGTGTCTTGGAAAGTTATAGGGTTAAATATAGTGCTAGCAAATTAAATTCCCTATACTTTCGGCCTGGGTTGTCAGGCAGGTCCCGCAAATTGAAATTAATAAAATTAACTAATTATGTAAAATGATTACATAAATATATACGTAGAATTAATATATATATATATATAATTTTTTTAAATTATTTTTATTTATATATATTTATATATAGAGAGATATATACGTATATACTTATGTATATAGATATATATATTATTTCGTTCTACGTGTATTTTGATATCAATATATATATATTAATATCAAAATACAGTTAGAACGAAATTACACACATATATATATTTTTTATGATTTATTTTTTATCTTTTTATTTTTTAACGTATTTACATATTTTTTTATTATATATAAATATATATATAATTACAATTACATATATATTTAATCAATATCATTGTAAGTGTATTTTGATATTAATATATATATATATAATTATATATGTATTAATATTAAAATACACTTATACAGTGTATGTATGTATATGTGTATAAATATACTTAGATCATATATATAATAAATATATTTATTTTAAACTGTTTTTAAATCTTTTATTTTACTATTTTCAGGCAGCAGGGGGAGTACCTGTCATTCCAGGCACTCCCTCTGCTGGCAATGCTATGAATGGCTATGCCGTCCATGTGATCGTGAGGTCCTCGCAAGGACCTCGTGATCGCATGGCCCAGGAGGGCCGGAATGGAAGCAGGGCGTCTCCCTGGGATGCCAGGTAAGTCCCCCTACGGCGATCGCCTGCCGTCCTTAAGGGTTAAGCATTATTTCAAGGGAAAACACATTTTCATGAATTGTCGTGTGGTGTGTAATGTTGTAACGTCAAGCTGAGTGCATCTTTTCTGAAAGGTAGTCAAGTTTAACAAAGACTATTTACCTCGTTTCCAGCTCCTGCTCTGCCTTTGGTGATGTCAGCATACAAACTGACATCACCCATGATCTGCCCCAATCCATTGCTTTTCATAGAGAAGCAATGGAATGGAACTCCTGCAATCAAATGCTGCTGTTGACAGCCTTTGATTCCCATACTGAGATTCACATGGTCTGGGGGAGAAAGTGTCTCTAGTAGATGTCAGGAATGCAGCCACTAGAGGTGGATTATCAGATACTTCTCAGAGTTTGAAAAAAAAAATGTTTTACATTGCAGGGTTAAACTTACATTGAGATTAAGTGGTCTGTCTGACTATAGTCGTCCTTTAATATGTATTTATATTTAAAGGAAAACAAATGTAAATAAATTATCAAAGCTGGAAGGGAAACTGATGGTATTTATAAATAAAGGACATATTCCATCAGTTCTAAATCTGTTTCAATACATTGTTTAACCACTAAGACATGATCCAGTAAGAAATGATCATTAACTGGACAAAGTCTGTACATTTTGTAATTTAGCAAACTCCGTTTCTAAGACATTTTATAACTCACTAAGAGAAATGTAAAGCCATTTCAAGTGTTCTCATCTTCCTGGAAGCCTAAAGGAACTGTTTTCCATTATTTTATTTATACAAAGGAGACTACGTGCCATGTAGCTTATCATGTGATTTTATGTCTGCATCCCGTTACTAAAAATACAAACAGTGTAATCTCAGTTTATGACACATTATCTTCATGAAAGCCCATAGATTGAGGAGGACTGTGCAGGGAAGGGAAATTTCTACCTGGGTGTTCCAGAAGCCAGTCAGTCATTTTATTAAAGGAACACTCCAATTAAATGTTATATATGACATTTTATGTATAAATGCTGTATATAAGTCACTGGATAGCCAATACATTGTTAAACACAGATCTGCACTCACCAGTCAAGCCATAAGATTTGCTTTTCCCACAGAAATGTTACATTTAGAATGCAGTTACTACTGCAAGGGATTCTGGGTGGGTATATGCAAATTAGTTCAACAAAGACACATTTGTGCCTCATTGTTCTACTTTAAACATGGATTCCTTGGAGTTTATGTCTGCTGTATACAACAACTTTGAAACACAAATTGGGAAGAGGAGCAGAGCCAGACCACTTATGGACAGCCCTTTTTCGACTGAAAAATTATTTATTTCACTTTAACACTTTAACAGGTAAAATGTTAGCGCAGTAGTAGCATACTACGAAGTAGCATACTTTAAACATTTTATACATTGTTATTAGTCTGTATTGGACACTCTACAGGGATAAGACATTTGTTAATGCCCAAATACAGACTAAGAACCAAACATACTTTTCTGCACCCATGCATTGTCAATAAAATGATTGGTAGTGGAGTATGGGGGGCATACTCTTTTAGTTTGAGTGGGCTCCAAGTCTCAAATAGTCTTGA